TAGCCTTCTAAGCTTGCTAAAGTTGGCCCTTCTGAAGTCCAACACCTTAGCCCCACTAGTTACTTTACCCAGCCTTCACTGGATAGTGAATTTGACCAAGTGATGGTCACTTTCTCCCAGGCTACCATGAACTCGCATGTCCCCCACAAGATCATCCCCTGTTGCTAAGACCAGGCCAAGCAAGGCGCTACCCCTGGTGGGACTAGACACCACCTGGGTTAGGTGGAGGTCCTGCACACAGTGTAGGAACCTCCATGAGCGGCTAGTTTTGGTGGTCTGCTCCTCCCAGCACATATCTGGGTAGTTTAGATCTCCCATGACCACCGCCTCCCTCGCCTGTGTGGTGTCTGCTAGCTGCCCAGAGAATACATCGTCTAACTCTTGATCCTGTTGAGGAGGCCCGTAGTAGACCCCCACAACCAAGTCCTTTTCCCCTGGCCCCCCCCTGCCCCCCCTGGATCCTGACCCACAATGCCTCTGTGTTCCCCTCTTCCACCCCCGCCTTGATGGTGGAAGACGTATACCACTCCTTAATATAGAGTGCTACCCCCCACCATTTTTCCCCACTCTGCCACACTTGTACAACCTATACTCCTCAATGCCTACCGCCCAGTCATGTTTCTGGTGAACCAGCAGCAGTGGGGCTGGAGAAGTGTCCCTGGGGTCTACAGCAATACTCCGGACAAAGAACAAGCCAAGCCAAGCCAAGCCCAACCAGGGAAAACTTCAAGATCCAACACTTGAGTCATCTTCCTTGGGATTCTTCCTGTCCCAGGAGAGGAAGGCAAAGGCAGGACAATGCAGACCCCAGACCTGGTCAGAGATTGGCAGACCACACTGATATGGGCAGACCACAGACCTAGCAATAGCTGAAGGTGTGAATACCAGGTGCTGCAGCTGCTATGCAGTCAGCCAGAATTAGATTGAAAGAATCGTGTGTCTTTGTTTGCAGGAAAGCACGTTATGTGCAGAAGAAAGGAAAGCGAGAGGTAAAGGTGCGCTGGGAGGTAAAGCCAGAGGCAGAGAGGAGGAGGAACCCACCAGTGAAACCAGCTGTCCTCAGTCCTGTCCACTGTCCAGGGATGCATGCAATCCTGCTGGAGTGCGGCTAAAGCAGGAGGCCCCAAAGCCTGTTCATGATTAGCTGGTTAGTGGTAGAATGGGACTCATCTGTGCTATGGGGAGCACAGATACTGGAGGGTGTGGGGGCTGGTCTGTGGTGTGGGGGGAATAGGTGCTGGGGTGGTGCAGGGTGCTGGGTAGGGGACACACAGGAACCCAGGTCCATGGGAGGTGGGGGTGCCTCCCACCGCAACCACCATTACAGGCCTGTACCATGTACTTGTTGGGTCTCTTCTCCTCCAGCCAGTTGCGGTACTGGACAATGGCCTAGAGGTGAAGCGGCTGCTTGTGCACCTGCAGGGATGATCAATGTGGCTTCCTCAGGGGGAGGAGAGCCCCCTCCCCACTACACCCCCATCTCAGCACCAGGTGCCCCATGGGGTCTGCCTGCCTAGGCTCTCTAGGGGAGAGAAGGCATGTGGGGGTAGATAAGATTCTGAAATGGTTGTAAGGGTGACACCAGGGGAAGCTGGCAGTCCAGGGCAGGCATAGCTGTGCCACAGGGCTGAGGGGAGGAGCAGGGGAAAGGGCACCATTGGGAATGGGACAGCGAGGACACCAGGGAGAAGAGCCTGGCACAGCCGGGGGCGGGGGGCTGGGATCCAGGAGGTCGGGAAGGACTGTGCATGGGGAGCACAGGACATGAACCCCTTGGAGTGAGAAGGGCAGGGATGGGAAGGGCAGGGCTCTGTGTCATTAGTGGGGCAGGGAGGCAGGAACCCCCTTGGGAGGGGATGCTGCCGTCACCTGCAGGATCTTGATGAGCTGAACGTTGTCCTCTACCACCACCACGTTGGCCGCGCAGTTGGCGGTGATGTAGCCACAGGCCTCGGGGGAGCTGGTGCTGTAGATCCCGACTGCCAGGCCCCTGGGGTGGGGAAAAGCAGCAGCGTGAAGCCAGGGGCCCCGAGGAGATGCCCCATCAGCCCAGCTGCACCCGCTCCAGTCCCACCTGTTCCAGAGCCACTCAGCAACCTGCCCAAGGTGCCCCCTCGGCCGGCCACAACCTGCATCCACACCAGGGCCAGGCACGTGTCCCCCCACCAGGCAGCGCTGGCACCCATGTGGGCCCCCATCCCACCCTGCAGCATGAAGGCACCCCCTTACCCGGCCATGATGGCCCCGATGTCAGCGATGACCCACGCGGGGCTGTTGGAGCCCAGGATCGTGACACCATAGAAGCGCTCCAGGCCCAGCTGGCGACAGTAGAGAGGGGTCAGGTCCACATGCATGTGACCCCACTCTGGCCCAGCACTCCTCAGCCCCATGCCCACGGCTTCTGCTCACTTTCAGGAAGCCCTTGGTGGCAGCTCAGCACTGCTGCTGGTACTGCCGGTGGCTGAGGCTCTCCCACATCTGCAACCACTTGTAGGCCAGGGTGGGCCAGTCCCCATGGCGCTCCACCACCCCCTGGAACAGCTGATGCATGGTGATGGGTGGCAAGGCCCTGGGGCCCTTGGGGTCCAGCTGTGCCACCCCATCTACACACATGGTGAGCAGGGTTTCCACCGGTGCCACAGTGGAGTGTTTCCACTGCCCACTTGATCACCAAACACTTTCTATCGTGGCGTAATTCCGCTCAGGTGGGTGTAACTTCCTACTTATGTATGCTATAGGGCACTCTTCTTCCCCTTCTGTCTGGATCAACACCGCTCCAACTGCTGCTTCTGATGCATCAGTCTGCACCAGGAAGGGTTTATTAAAGTCTGGGGTATATAGCATGGATTGCAAGCACAATGCTTCCTTCACCACTTGGAATGCCTTTTCAACATCCATCTTACCTTGGCAGGAGCCCCTACCTTTGTCATCTCTGTCAATGGCACCACTAAATCTGCGAAGTGGGGTACAAACCTTCTATAATAGTTGGCTAGCCCCAAAAAAGCCCTCACTTGTTTTTTAGATTGGGGAGCTTGGTACCTCTGCAAAGCCTCCACCTTGCTTAATAATGGTCTCACTTTTCCACTTCCTACTAGGAACCCCAGGTACTGAGTTTCTTCTTTCCCCATGGTAAGCGATCTTCCCTTCCCACTCCTCTCTCACCAAATCGAGAGGACCTCGCACTCGCCTCCCGAACATCAGCTCGAAGGGCGAGAACCCAGTGGACTCCTGGGGCACCTCCCGGTAGGCAAAGAGCAACTGTGGCAGTTTCTCATCCCAGTCATTGGGGTTGGAGTCCACATAGGCCTTTAGCATACCTTTCAATGTCCCGTTGAACCTTTCCACCAGCCCGTTTGTCTGAGGGTGGTAGGCTGTGGTCTTAAGGTGTTGCACCCCACAGCAGTCCCACAGGCACTCCATTATCTCCGCCATGAAGTTCCCACCCCGGTCCGTCAGGATCTCGGAGGGAAAACCCAGCTGGCAGAAGACCTTAATGAGGGCATCAGCAACCACGGGTGCCTCGATGGAGGTCAAGGCAACTGCCTCCGGGTACCGCGTTGCGTAATCCACTAGAGTCAGTATGTATTTCTTTCCCCTACGAGTCCTATGCTTCAGCGGTCCCACAATGTCCACGGCCACCCTGTGGAAGGGTTGGTCGATGATCGGGAGGGGCTGCAGGGGAGCCCTTCTCTTGTCCCCGCTTTTGCCCGTCCGCTGGCATGTCTCGCAAGATTTGCAATAGTCCGTCACATTCTGAGCAATTCTGGGCCAAAAAAAGTTCACCTGTAATCGCTGGCGTGTCCGTTCCCTGCCCATGTGACCTGCACACGGTAGATCGTGAGCCATGGCAAGCAATTGCTGTCTGTATTTTCGGGGTACTATGAGCTGGCGCTGGGGCTCCCAGGTCTCGGCATGGTTCTTCAGCCCCCACAACCGATAGAGAAGCCCCTTATCCCAGACCACCTGTTCCCTCTTGTCCGGAGTGAACTCAGTCTCTTGCTCCTGAGCCATCTGCCGGAGTCCCTCCAAGCTGGGGTCCTCCCGAACCTCCCGCTTGAACTCCTCTTGCCCAGCTAGGCAATCAGCAGGGAGTGCACACTCACCCACAGGGACTTCCTGGGTCTCCTCCCCGCTAGTGTCACCTCCCTCTGCCACTGATGGAATACACCCCTCCCCGGGACTGTCACTTAACCCACCCTCGGGGTTACCGGTTCCCTCCGGGACCAGGGTGCAATCGCTGTCTGCAGGGGTCCCTTCCCCTGCGGCCAATGGTGTGGCTTTCTCCTGGGGATTTTCTAACCCCCCCTCTTTAGCCTTCCTGCTCTGCAGGCGAGTCACTGCATGAACAGTGCGGGGCTTTGACTCTTGGGTCTGTTCCCACCTCCGGAGCTGGGCTTCCTGCTCTATAAGATCCCGTCCCACCAGGATGGGGACCGGAGCCCCTTCCAGTACCCCCATTTCCAGGTACGTAGCACAGTCGTTCCACACGACGGGGGCCTGGAATACCGGTACCTTCAGGGGTGTGGGCCCCACTCCTTGAATAGTGAGGGTCTTCCCCGGGATTATGTCTGCAGGCGAGACCAGGTTGGAATTAATGAGTGTTACACTGGCCCCCGAGTCCAGTTCCCCCACCAGGGTCCTTTCCTTCACCGTGATCACGGTCCGGTGGGGGGCCATCACCTCCTCTGAGTTTGTGATCCTGTAGCAACAGGCACTGTCCTCAGAGTGGCTCCGGCCCTCCTCCTCACTGCTCACGGCTGTTGCACGCTTGACGGGCCTGGGTTTATTGGTTAGCTTTGGGCAGTTGGGCTTGATGTGGCCCTGCTCCCCACAGTTATAGCACCCCCTCTTTTCCGAATTGGGTGGTCTGTCCGA